TAAAAAATTGCAATTATTCTCACTATAAATTTTTTAGTTCTTATTCTTACTATGGTTAGCAAAATATATAAGTAATATAAAAATATAGAAGTACTTTATGATTTTAAAAATATTATAATTCTGTGTATAAAATATTTAAGAAATAAATTATATAAAAATAAATATAGAAGAATAATAGCATAATAATAATATTTAAATTTGTATTTTTTAATAACATCTAATGACAAAGAACAAAAATTATGTATCATGGCATATATATAAGAAAAAATATTGTTATGAATTATTAACAAGATAGCGTATCATAAATAAATGTTCAATTCAAATAAGATTACTACATGATTACTACCTTAAATTGCAATGAAAAATTGCTGACAATTACCTTAAAGATAGTTGTGTGCAATTAGCTAGACTAGATAATTATGACTTGTTCATTTTTATGATCTGATGAGCATGTTATACATCATAATTTATATATTTGTTATATTTATATAACAAAATTAATTTCTCTTAATTTTTTTTAATATAAAAAAATCATTCCTCTTTTATATTTTAAATGTCAATCAAATCATTTGCAATATAAAACAAATTCCAATTGTTTTCACAATACAAAATGATGTTCAATACAAGTTAAATTCTTTTCCATTTTATTTTCCAAAACTCCGTGTACGATGCCCCATTAAAATGTCACGACTTCAACACCTCTTTGCAGCATATTCAAAATTTGGCGATACGAGATCTAATGGAGAAACTATAACATTAACTCAATCTGATAAATGGATGAAACAAGCAAAAGTTATTGGTAAAGAGATAACAACAACAGACACACTGGCATTTGTTTTGGAAAATTCAAGTTATAATCGTTCCAAAATAAAAAAAAAGTTTAAATGATGAATATGCTAACGTATATTTTAAATTAGATCTCGAACTCTGACCTTCGAAAATTACTTGAAGTTCATAGATGATCTAGCACAGTCCAAAAATGTTGATTCCAAAGAAATAAAAGCAAAATTAAAACATAGCGGTATGCCTGGACTTGCAGCAGGTGCCACTGTAAATAAACTATTTCATATTATTTCTTCTTGATACTAAAAGTTTTGTTTTAACAAACTTTAAATGATGGAGTAAAGTTTACTTCAGGGGTAATTATTAGATAGCAATTAGTTCTCTAGATTTTGCATCAATCATTAAAAAATATTACTACAAATAATTATATAAGCGAATAATAAATAATATCGCTTTTAGAGTATCTATGTTCTGATATGCACTGGTTTTTCGGTTCAAATTTTGTAAATAATTTAGTAGAAATATATTTTGAACATAAAACCCTTTTCAAAAAATGGGACCATCTGGGAAAAATTTTGCTTATACAAAAAGTCGAGAGTCCAGGAAAAAAATCCAGGATTCTTCCAGGACAAAAGATATTTTCTAATAAAACTGTTTTCTTTTCTGAAATAACATAGATCGTTGAAGTGACGAGTGCGTTGCAAAGACTAACAGACCCATCAACTTACACTGGAACACATGCCCAACGTTTCGATAGAAGTGGCCAAAGGTAAGGGCAAAGCAAGCCGCGAAGATTCAACTAGCAACGACGGATATGTTCAGGGCTATAAACATAAAAATACTTATGATAAAACTCACAATAAATAAATTGATTTACTAAAACTTATTGTAATGCCATTAAGAATATTTTTTTAGATTAAATGTATATAAACCAGTATCTTAAAGCAATAATTAAAATATATTGATATATTTTTGATAATTAAAGAAATATATAATACTCCAGTCTAGTGATATAAGATTCATTTATTCTTATTACATAGATTATTATATTTACACTCATTATTAATAATACAACATATCTATTTAATTAACAAATTTAAGAATTAAAATGAAGAAAAGCTATATATTCAGTCATTAAAAAGTATACATATTATAGTTATTTGTTAAAATAAATCAAAATTAAACTACACAATAAAATTACATATATAAATAAAATACCATACAATTTAATGCTAAAAACAATTTAGCTTATGCTAGTTAAAACAATTACCGAATGCATTGTCTCAAAATTAAGCTCTGTTTCGAAGTTTCAACGCCTGACTTTTTCTTCAATGGGTCTGGTACAAAGCATTTCCATAATCTTAGAGTTTCATCAGCTCCAGCACTCATGATTGTTGTACCATCTGGAGAAAGCGCTAAATTCAAAACTCTGGCAGTATGCCCTCTTAATTCAGCTTGTTTCGTCATAGCAGGGAATTTCCAGATGATTAACTGGTTGTCAGTAAATCCATGCCCTGATACTAATTCTTTATATTGCGGTGCCCAACACAGAGCGCAAACTTGGCTGTGGGTATCTGTTGAGCTAACACTAGTTCCTGTATTGACATTCCAAATTTTTATACAACGATCAGCAGTGCCTCCTCCACTTGCTAAAATATTATTTTGCCAAGGGCACCATGCAATAGCTTTGACTGCTGCTTGATGTGAATTGAAAACATGTACAGGAGTAGTTTCTCCATAACATTGGCCTCTGACAGCAGACCATACATTTAAAATATTATCATTTCCACCAGATGCCAAATATCTGCCATCTGGAGACCATTTTAATCCACAGACTTCCTGATCGTGAGCGTCAATATTGGATATAAGATGTTCACGCTGTCTAACATCACTGTGAATAATGTGACCAGTGCGACTGCCAGAAGTTATAACATAGTTATTCCATGACAAAGATCCAACTCGACCACCATGTCCACTCATAACACGCAATCGTTTCATATGATTGCAGTCCCATACCTCTACATTACCTTCAGAAGTTCCTATAGCTAAATGATTGCCTTGACCAACCCAAGCTAAAGAACAAGCATGTTCATTACCTTCATACCCTAACAATTCTTCCGTGGTGCCAAATTCAGCATGCCATAAATATACTTGATTGCCTAGTGCAACAGCTAATACATTATCGGGACTCCAGTCCAGTAAATTTAAATAGTAGTCATCAATTATTTCAGGGGCATCCAATATTCTATCTGGGGCATGAGGAATGTACCTGGAACCTGCTTTAGCACTTGCAGGTGTACGTGATTGTGAATAAACCACCTTTAGAGGATTTTGATGAGAATCAGGAGCAGCTGGTGCTTTATTTGAGTATGCTAAATTCTTTGGTTAGGATTATTACCTAATGCGTTATTGACGAGTCTCTGCATCTCAGATTCCCGACTGGAAACCACTTGATCTTCGCCATTCTCTTGACTAGATTGTTGATTAAATTTGAAATGCCCTAGTTCGAAATTGGAGTTAGCCCTTGAAGGGATAAAACGATCACCTACATCTCCAGGTGTTTTTGTCAATTTACCTGGAGTCGGTGTGCCAGAGGACTTCTTTGGTGTTTTTGAAGGTGTCTTCTTACTGCCTCCAGGTTTATATTTGTTAGGCGTTTTAGAAGTTGTACTACTAGAATTACACAGCTGACTCTTGGACAACTTTTGTCGAGAAATATTACCGCTAGAACTGCTGGTCGAAGCATCCAGTTCTTTCTTTTGCCATCTAGGTAACGGTCCCTTTGTTATAGCACCGTCAAGTGACATAATATTATTGAATTCATTTAAATAATTGAATTGAGCCATTATTAAAGTATTAATTCAAATTTTGCGTAACTTCAATAAATGACGAAAACTCAAAACATTCGTCGTTTTAACAAAAGATAGTTTGATGATGACGGTTGACGTATATTTTTGAACAAATCTTAGTTCATAGATTTATTCAGAAAACCACAGAATAATTAAATAAAGATACAACACTGCAGTCCATTCAGTTTCACCAACATTGGTTTTACAGGATTCATTGTCGCCAACAGAGAAGAACTATTTCTTTTTGATCAAATTTGACAACTGACATAGATAAGTAAACATTATTACTTAAAAGTAATTACAGTAATGAGATTACTTAAAAGTCTTAAAACAACATTAATAACCAGGTGATAGTTAAACATAATTTAGATTTTATATGAAAAATAGATAAAAAAAATCTATTGAGAAGTAACTATCATAAACATGTAACAAATAAGTCATCATTAACAGGATAATAAAATATGAGCTTTTAATAATATGAGCTTGTTGAATATTAATATTAAATTTATTAACTAAACTCATCTTACTACTAGTCAGATGATCATTGAATATTTCATATTTTGAATATCAGTATTTTATACTACTCGAATATGAATAGCACCCAAGACAACAAAACGCTTGAAACTAACAAGGTTAGTAACATGTATTATTATTTCGATGTGTAAATAATATCTAATAACTAATAAAAAAATTAAATTATGTTTGTAGAGTACGTCCCAATTAACACTTATATGCCGCATATGTACGCTACAATGTGAAAATATGAAAAATCTTTTTGAAGATGCAAACAAAGACATATTGAAAATATTAATGTCTTTTACAAATACAAAGGTAATGCTTGGATATTTTTCTTTCATGAATATTTGAAAAAAAAATAACAAATGTGATAATAGAAAGTTCTAATTTATATTAATAGACTTCCAGCAATAATTTGATAGTCATACTGATTATGATAAAAGTTCGGATTAATGACACTTTTTCTTATCATACTTTTTTTTATTCAGTACAGAGAAGATGATGATCTACCTCAACAAATTTGTTTAAAATGTATAAGAGAATTAAAGCGTTTGAACACATTTAGATTGAAAATTCATAACTCTGAAAGAAAGCTAAGAAAGTATTTTTCTAAAACTGAATATACGAGTAAGTATTTATTTATAAAATTGGTAAATAATGAAGTACTTAATATTGGGTTTCATTCAGAAGGTAATCTTGAAAACCAGGAACTCACTGCAAAGCCATATTTATGTACTATTTGTGGTTTACAAATTGCTCATTCAAGTTCTTATACTGCACATAAAAGAATGCATACAGGTGAATATGATGTGGAATCACTATTTGAATATTTGAAGGTTTGATATTCATATTTATATGCTTTTGATGTGATGATTCATGTGTTCATTGAAATGTTACTAATATGTGACAAAAATAATAATTTTCAATAAGTGATTCATATTTCGAATCCTTTTTAATACTACTCTATAGCTCTAGAAATTATTTTGTAATTCAGATTTAAATAAGTTTCAAATACCAGAAGACATAAAGGGTCGGTTTTACGCATTGAAGATATTATAATAGTTATAGCATTTGCAATTCATAAAATGTAGAATTTAAGTTCTATTATCTGTTGATCAGGAAAACGCTATTGCTATCGGTTTTCAATATCATTTAGATTATCATATTATAATTATGAAGTAACATGTATTACCATATATAATATTCACTTAGGTGAGAAGCCATTTGAATGCTCGAATTGTTTGAAAAAATTTGTCTCCAGCAGTGCTAGAGCACTCCATATAAAGAAAAGAACTTGCTTCAATACTGATAATATTGATAATACTGATAAAACACTGTATTTGTGTTACACTTGTGGAAAATCTCTTTCGAGTTCTGACTCTCTTGATAGCCACATGAAATTACATAGGGGAGACGCTAAACATACTTGTCCAATATGTGGTAAGTATTATTTATTTATTTTCATATTTATGATTAAAAGCATTTTCATGACATTTAATTTAATTTTAAGTAATATTTTTTTATTATATTAAAGATAGAAGTTTTTCTCGCTGGGATCATTTGCAATCGCATTCAAGAACTCATTCTGGCGAAAGGCCTTATAAATGTTCATTTTGTGATAAAGCTTTTGCTCAATATAGTACTTTACAAACCCATCTCACAATACACAATGGAAAATCATATACTTGTGACACATGTGGCAAAAATTTTCCTAGACCTTCTCATTTAAAACAACATCTAATTACTCATTCAGGTAAATAGTTTATTCTTTTATTACTTGGCAACCATAATGATAGAATATAATTATCTTCTCTAAAGACAATGTTATAGATTTTGTCAAAAAAAAAGTTGATTTTTGATCTTCACCATTTGGTTTATTGTGTGCCATTTGCCAGAAATATTTGTATTTGCATAGATCTAAATTTTTTTCTATTCATCTTAAAATTAGAAATTCATTACATTATTTATATTATTTATGGTATAAGATGAAGTAATATAATTCTATAACTAAGAAATCTTCTAAGGACATTAACTTGTTGTTTTCATTTTAATTTTTTCTATATTTTCAGAGCAAAAACATTTACAATGTTCATATTGTGATAAAAAATTTCACTTTAAGAGAAGTTTAGTTTCTCATGAAAAAATACACCAAGGTTCGTATGTTGTAAGATTTTTATATAGTCTTTTTTTTTTTTCAAAACTCTTCTGATACACCATGAGCATATCAGGAAAGATATAGTATTTTCACAATCTGATTTATTTATTAATACTATTTAAACTTTATTATAGGTATAAAACCATTTAAATGTCAATCATGTGGCTCAAGTTTTACTCTTAAACAATCTCTAATTAGTCATATGGTAATACATACTGGAGAACGGCCGTATTTATGCAATATATGTGGTCGTTCTTATACACAGTCTGGAAGGTATGATATAATTTGATAAATAATTACAAATATATTGAGGTTGATTTTTGATATACAACAATTTTTATTAAACCAGTTATATTATACTGTACTGTAAAGCAGTATACAATCATGTTATCAATTTTCACTTGCATGGCAAAATATTTTTTTTTTGAATAATCAAGAAGCTTTGTTATGAATATACTTTCATAGCAAAATAATATTTTAAATATATTATGTTTAAGGCTTAAGATGCACATGAAGAGTGCTCATGAAAGTGAAGAAGAGATCAGGACAGACACAGATGAAGGACCAAAATTCATAATCAAAGATGCAGAGATTTTTGAAGAACCTATTATTGATAACAACTTGCTGGATCCAAATACTTATGAGATTATTATTAATAATAATGAAAATTATTTAGCTGCACCGCTCATGGTCTTGACTTCAAATATGACAGAAGAAATTTTAGGAGAGCATGTTCAATATTGTTAATGAATGAAATTATATTGAAATACATAATATATTTTTGTTCAATAAATACAGCTTGTTATTTTTTATTATTTTACGAGAGGTTTATTTATTTATCAACAATTGCAAAATCAATTAAATGATACAATTGTGAACAAATTACCAAAATTAATTAATTGTCTGAAAGAGAATTTGAACATTACAAGTACTAGGTTTAAATGCTATTTTTACTAATATTAAGATTATAAAAAAATCGGCTCAATCTTTTCTTTGTAACTAATGGTTTTATAAGAATCTGTTACAATTACAATATGTGTAACGTCGTATAATACATTTGAATTAACCGCATTTTCTTCAAACTAAACAAACAAGCAGCAAGTTCGCATCTGGTAATACTTACAAAAATGGATTTGCTCATTTGTCAACAACTTTTTAATATATTTAATTACTACATATAATAATAGCATATAAATAATATTTACCTGATAATTATGTCATACACTACTCAAACAATTTAATTAAGTTACTTTGAGCATATTTGATTAGATTTTATAAAAAAATATTTGAAAATATAACCTCAATATGTCAGGTCCTGCGATTGATATGTTTTATGATGAAAATTCTGAACAAAACATTGAGAGTTCAGATAATTCCACATCAGTGGTGTGTAGTTATTTTTTACAAATGTTTTACATCAATTTTGTTCATTTTTCTATATTTTTGCATTTTTACTGTTAGGTTGTAGATTGGCTAAACCAAGCATCACTAGCTGATACAACTGAAAAAGTGACTTTGATAAAAAAAATTCAAGAATATATATTACATAAAGAGCCCAGTTTAGCAAAGACTTATTTGGATAACATACTAGATTTTTGTGCTGATCCAATCCAAGATGTCAAAAAAGCTGTTGTTGCGTTTATTGAAGATCTTTGGTAAGCAGCTCATGTTTTTAATAATAAATTGTAAATAATGTTGGTTTAGTTTTGTTGTTTCAAAATCTAAGTATGTTTACAAGAATAAACCTTTTACAAATTGTTGTAGGATCTTTTTACTTTTGCATCTCGTATAGTCCATCTGTATATTATAGTATTAAAAAAAACTAATGACATTTTGGATTGGAAAATTTAAAATACATGAAACAGATATTACAGAAGCTTTTATTTAATTCTACGAGCTGTCGAATTCAATTGCTAACTGTTTATACAGAATATTTACTAGAACTATTTATTATTTCAACCAACGCTCAAGATTTTAACTAAAACTTATTTAATGAAGGCTTTGTTTCAATTCTATTATTTACTGAGTGTGTAAAAATAAAGTTCTGTTGTCACTCTTAATTATATAATTATGTAAAATACAACTTTAGTAACTATTTTTCATTTATCGTTTTCATTTTCGTGCTGTATATTATCATTATCTGAATAAAATAAATATATATTATAAAAGCAAGTAACTTTTTGAATATAATATAGTTCTGAATATAGTATAAATTATATAATGCTAATTTAACTTGGGCTAATATTTTTTTTTAAATTATATTTCAGTAAGACGGATTCATCGCTCTTTCCCTATGTTTGCCGGCATTTTTTGATGTTGTTATGTGATGAATCCGTTCAAGTACAAAAGAGAGCTGTGCAGGCAGCCAGATTAGTTTACCGTTGTGCTTTGCAGCACTTAAGTAATGCTCCTCAAGTTACAGAACAAATGGAGCAATCATGGAAATATTTATGCCAAGCAAAGGTTATTATAATTATAGACATATTGACCATATACACCATATTGATTAATTTCAATGTTTATTACTTTTATTCAATTTTTCCGTGATAATTTTAACTAACTTTAACTTATTCATAAATGATCACTGGTTTTGATTCTTGAATAAAGAGATATTTTTTAAAAGTGGTACTATTTTATAAATTCAAATAAACATCTATTCTATTTATAATACAAAAATACTACTTGATATAGTGAGCATGAGGTTAGCATCTTATGTCTAATATAATTTATTATATTGTTGACAGAATCAGATAATTACCATGATTGATAATGATAATGACGGAATAAGAACAAATGCTATAAAATGTTTAGAAAGCATTGTTTTACTCCAAACACATAGAGATAAAGATTCAACCGACAATAATCAGAATAAACAAGCTGGACTCGCTGATTTTTCATTAGATGATGTTCCATTAACTTTAAAAGTTGCTAGAAGACGCAAGTTAGAAGAAGAAGCAATGTAAGCATTTAATTTTTTTTTTAGAAAATATTATTTGGAGTTTATACATCATTCTAGAAATAATTGTAATTATAATTTACTGTAATTTATTAATAATTTCACTATTTTTAGACAAATTTTCCAAGCATTGCTGCACTTTCATAATTCTCAACACATTTCAAGTGTAAATTTAATGGCATGTATGGGAACTTTATGCACAATAGCAAAGTTGCGATCGCAATTTATGCCAAAGGTTCTAGATGCATTAGATAGCTTGAATGCAAATTTGCCACCAACATTATCCAGTTCTCAAGTGAACAATGTTCGCAAACAATTAAAATTACAATTGTTTAATATTTTAAAACATCCGGCTAGCATAGATTATCATGATAACATTACTCAATTGCTTACTGAATTGGGTGCTTCTCAAGCAGATATTACTAAAAATACTCCTAAAATTGATAAAGCTGAGGAACGTCGACGGCAAAAGAGGTTTTTGGAACAAGAATTAAATAAACATTTAACAATCAAAAAGCCTAGGTTGGATCCAGAAGTTGTGGAAGAGAAAAGCAAAGCAGAATTAGAACTTGAAGAATTAGATAAAAAAAGGCAGGAAATAAATGCAACTAATGAAAAATTTGCTTTTGAAAAGTTACAAAATATTGACAATGTTGTGCAGCTAGTTATGAAAACTATGTTAAAACTTCCAAGTAAAATACCAGCGCAATTTATTCAAGAGTATTCTCCAATTCCTAATTCTGGTTCTATTGCACATATTAAAAATATTTCCAAATTGATTGGAGAGAAATTAACAGATTTGAGTATGGGACCTTCAGGATCTTTGATAAAAGATACACTAATGTCAAGAGCAAAAGAAGATTTAATAATTAATAAACCGAATGTAAGGCTTGAAGAAAATACAAAAATGGATGAAGATGCACAAGATAATGAAAATAGTGAGCTTGTACGTTTAGAAGCTATGAAGAAATTAAGAGAAAATATGGAGAAAGAACGCAGATCAGAAATAAATACTAAAGCACTTAAAATGCGTGTGAAAACTTTGAAATTGCAAGAGCTCACAAAACCACTTATGCCTGATGTTAAAGAGCAATTGTTGCTATTAGCTCTTCGAAGGTTTGTTATTAGAATTCAATATACGCATATCATTTATGGAATCAATTATATTGATATTATTTAAAGCGCTTTTTTTTTATAAAAATCATAAATTTGTAGAATAATTTCATTCTTTTCTTTCAAACTGTGATATTTTTCAATGCAAAATGCTGCATTATTTTGATTCAAAAATAAAAAATAGTGTAGATTTCAATCATGATATAGATATTTATATACAAATCAATTAATGATCAAAGATTTTTTTTTCAGAATATTGAAAACTGAAAGAGAATCTATACAAGGAGGTGTAATGGTGGAACGTCGTAAAATTGTTACTACATTAGCAACATCATTTAAAGCAGATATTCGTCAAACAGCATTAGAATATATATTGTTAGATATTAAAAATAGACTTGACTTAGCATTTTCTTGGCTTTATGAAGAATACAGTATATTACAAGGTGCTATGATATAAATATTAACAATCTTTGAAGTTGAATACCAGAATGAAATTCTAATAAAAACTTTTTGCTTTGAAGAAATTTAGATTATACATAATTTTAATTAAATGATGCTTTTGTGTGCATTATTACATAAAGTATAGTATCAGAATACTGTAATAAATAATAGTTTCAAAATATCATCAAAAATAAAATTATCAGTCAATTTAAGCAATACAGAAATGAAGCAATGTTTTCTGAGAATATAAACGTGTATCCAAAGGATTTCTATAGATTGTTTTTTTCTGTTTCAGGATTTATGAAAAAGGGCATCAATAATACCAAAATTGAATCAAGACCAGATTTCAGTTATGAATGGTTGCTGTGCTCAATGATTAAATATTTACTAAATAATTCAGATTTTAGAGATAAAGAATTAGTATTAACTCGAATATATTTAGAAGCACCTTGTTTAACTGATGAAACAATTTCTATTTTGGCTAGCATGTGTGAAGATGAAAATAACTTTAGAATATCTTTTAATCTTCTAAAAGAATTAATAATAAAGAAACCTCCAAAACAAACAAAGCTTTTGAATGTTTTATTGTGTTTTACAGGTAAAATAATAATTTGATATAAATTAAAAACTACATGCAATACTTTTTTAATTCAATATGAAGTAGAAATTTGGTGGATAATAAATAATTTTTTCTTTGCATTATGCAGTTCATGAATTGGAAAACATACGAGAGTATGCCATTAATACAACTGTAGAAGTTTATAAGCATAGCGAAGAAATTATGAATCAAGTAGATGACCGAGCTTCAACATTCATGAACTATTTAACATTAGATGAACCATCAAATCAATTATTTGGACCATCATTAGGCAGACCTATTAAAACAGATGTCTGGAATGAAGAATTATACAAACAATGTCTGTACTTATATCTCGCACTGATACCATCGAAGCCAGGTATGTTGAAACAAATCCTTTGTAATCCACTACAGTTTATTGTGATTTAATGAATATTTTTTATCAATCTATAAGTTAATTTTGATCTGAGTGTTATTAATAAATAGTAAAAACAGAATAATACAAATTTTAGTGCTGATTCATGACTTGGGTCGTGTTTATATACAAACTGGTCCTGATGTTAAGAGGTGCATTCTTAGATTATTAGAGGGACCAGTTAGACAACTCGGCATGGAAAATACTGAATTGATGAAATTAGTTGAGGCCTGTGCAAAGGGATCTGAAACCTTGGTTACAAGGGTGATACATATTTTGACCGAAAGAAGTAAGTTGTTATTAAATGAGCTTGGAAATATTGCACTTTTAAGCATTATGGTGGCTTTATTCTGAAAATTGAAAATAGTATTACCAATGAATAAATATTCTGACATATTGATTATTAGTAGTTCCATAGTTTTCCAGTAATATTGTTAAAATATATGTAATGTTTTACTTAGAATCATTTATGAACTAAATATTGTTTTTTAGGTTTGCCTAGCATGGAACTAGTTTCTAGAGTTCGAGATCTTTATCACACTAAAGTATCTGATGTCCGATTCTTAATACCAGTATTAAATGGTCTTAATAAAGACGAGGTTAGTAAATATTTATAAAAATTATGGGTGAAGCCAGGTTTATGAGCTGAGCTGAAGTCCAACTAAAATAAGAAAACTATAGTATTGGAGATTTGCCATTTCACAACGTAGAGCTGAAAAGGGCTCTTCTCGCGATACAATTGCGTTTTGTGAAATAAATTATTGATATATATTTCATATTTTTCTATTAAATATTAATATATAATTTTTTTTAGTATATTTATAATTAGTTATTTGGTTTTATTATAGGTTATAGATTCTTTGCCCAAATTCATTAAACTAAATCCAGTAGTTTTAAAGGAAGTTTTTAATAAGCTGCTGAATAATCAAGCAGGTCCTACATCATATCCTAGTCCAGGTAAATTTACTGTAATTTTCATAAATTAATCATAACTGCTAAATTATCTTATATCATTATTTTTTTAAATTTTTAGTTACACCTATAGAGTTGCTTGTAGCGTTACATACAATAGACACAACTAGTGCAGATTTAAAATTCGTAGTGAAAGCAACAAGTTTGTGTTTAGCAGAGAAGGAAATTTACACGCAAGAAGTAAGTTCTTAAACAAATAAATTACACAGTTTTCATAGAAAGTTCAATAAACCCATCTCTTCGGAACTTTCTTTATTGATGATTTTTATTCAATATAAGTTATTACATGTATTACAATCCCATAAAATTTTATTTCAATGTTTGAGAATGGTGATAGGTCCTAAATTGATTATTGATATATTTATTCCTTTGATAAATAATATTTGTAAATAATATATACATAAACAATAGACATATCAATTTTAATAGAACAAATTATATATGTTGGAGAGTTTTATTCATTCCATAACATTCAAGTTCATTTACATTAAATTTTATTTATTTGCAGGTGATGTCAGTAGTTATACAACAATTGATCGACATAACTCCATTACCTACATTGTTAATGAGAACAGTCCTGCAATCAATGACAATGCATCCAAGATTATGCAGTTTAATTATGAATGTTTTACAAAGGCTCATAATCAAACAGGTATTTTATCATTATATTTTGCGTGGCTACAACAATAATGTAATTGATATGATTGTAATTTATATGTTTTCAGGTTTGGACTCAAAAACTTGTATGGGATGGATTTTTGAAATGTTGTCAACGAACCAAACCGCAATGTTTGCCAGTAAGTAAATATTTTTTTAATTTTATATCAGATAATTATAGTATGTTAGTCACACGGAAGAAAATGAATGCTTCAATTAATTTTTGAGACATATCTTTAGAATGTATGAATGTGTATTTAAAGAGTTGTTATGATTGTGAATATAGTACACTTTACAAAACAAAAATAACGGAGTTATTTAATGATACATTAATTATTGTAGTTTTCGTTTTATGAGTATAATTTATTGTATATTTTTGATAATTATCTGATTTATAATGATTTTTATAGCTTTTATATCTTTTAAAAAATATATTTCTTTTATGATAAAAAAAATACGAACACCAAATTAATGACTTAAGATTAATGAGTAAAAAACTTTATTTTATGAAAAGCTATAATGGTATTAGTTCTCATTTACCATTGTACTTTTTTAATTTTTTATTACAATTTTTGTTTTAATGATGAAAAATTAATATTTTTACTTCTTAATCAATTCTGATATTGTTGCATAATATTGGGTAATACTCATTGCATCTTGAGTTAAGATACCTAAAAAATGTAACAGTTACTGCATGACTTTAAAAAATATATTTCCTATCGAAGGGACGTAATTATAATAATTGTAAGCTAGCATATTTATAATGTGGTTTATAATGAAATGTACACGTAGTTTTCTTGATATATAAAACGAAAATCTATAAAATATAATTTGAAATTATAATTAATATTAAGATTAATTTTAAGTGTTAATCAAAAACTATTATTATTTATCTATATCAATATAATGCTACTTATTTCTACTGAAATTCTTTCGTTCCATGTTTATAATAGCAAGCAATTTTTGAAGCAAATTTAAATTTTAAAGATTTAGTTAATAGCTGTTACCACAACAATTTTATTTTTGCTTCTCAAAGTTAAATCTCATAAAATCCATTTGATTTCAATATATCTCTGAAATTTTATGTTTATGATTTCTTTTACATTATGGCGTGTTTTCATATTATAATAAATAAGTGTATGTTCTCTGGAATTTTAGTATCTATTACTGATACATATCACTCACTACATCAAATTTAAGAATTTAAATCTATAGGAGCTATTCAATTGAATGAGTCAAAAATAATTTATTTTATTTTACTGTAATTTTATGATCATTTTTATATTCAAGGTGTTGCTTCATTTACCGTTGCCACAATTATCAGATACATTAACTCAATGCCCTGATCTGCATGAACCTTTAAAACAGTATATTAATGGATTAGATGAGGAGAAAATAAAGGCGATAGACGATGAAATTATTGAAGTTATTTTCGGACCAGATGGAAAGGTTGTTATATAATTAATTCAACTAAAAATTCAAAATACAAAATTATTAATGCAAATCTGATTTATAAATTAATTAAAATTGGAGTATATTAGTCAAAATAATAGTTATATTACTTAGATAAAATAATAAGATATTTATTTGGCATTTTCAGCCTGGTATGTTACCATTCGGAGTATCTGTAAAAATGGAACCAGGGTCATGTGTGCCCATTGCAGTGAACGATGTGCTTCCGCCAGGATTGGAATAAATTTATAGCACACGGTTGCAATTGTATATTGTTTTTTATATTTAATTAATATAGAAATCTCTTAGATAAATTTATAGAATAAAGGATATTTTTATAACATTTGATTGATTAATTTTCAAACTTCAGAAGCTTTGTAAATATTGTTTGTTTATTTATAAATATACATTAAGAGGAAGAAAATGTTAATTAAATCTTCTTTTTAATTTGATTAGATTTGCAGATTCTTGATACAAAACTATGAATTGGATTTGTATTTCCATTGCCATGACTTATGCAGCAAATATATTTTTGTTGTTGTTATTGTTTTATGATCAAGTTATGAATAAACGAAAGTCGTTTATTATTATAAAATTTTAGTACTAATAATTATTATTTTTAGTTAATAAACTAGAGTTCAACTTTTAACGTTAATTTAATTATTTTATGACTTAATTAAAACCCTTGCTAATGTTATTATTTGGAACTTTATACTTGTACATGCAATAACCATTGATGTTAACTGCAAAGTTTAAGCTTTTGTTCATTTTTTGCGGTGTTACAAAATTAAAAATACAATTTTTATAAAAATATATTTTTCAAATCTTTTAAAACTGCTTAACTTTTTCAATTACCAATAATAAGTACTCTAAAATAACGAGATTTAAAGATTCTCTAAAGAAAAAGAATTACATACTTATGCAATTAATCATAACCGTTCCTTATATCATACCAAAAATATTCATATAATTAAAAATATTTTGAAGTGTTTAAACGACAATAGATTTGAAAATAATATAAAAGTGGAAGCTGTAAGTGGCATTTTGCTTTAGAAAAAATTACGGGCATGCCCAGTACGGTAATCGCAAAAGTATTACAAAATATTTATTTATACGAAACTGTAAAATACAAAATTATTTTTAACTTCCCGTAGGGTAAGTTATAGTAATCGCAAAAAAATCGAAAATGAAAATTTTTGCATTTCTCGACGTTTCAAAGGTTTCTGAATATTTTGGCATACCTTAGAAAAAATGGATGTATGTGTGTGTGTGTGTGTGTGTGTGTGTGCGTGTGTGTTTGTATGTGCGGATACAAATTTTCGTCGACGATTTCGGGAACACCGATCAATCGATTTGATTAATTCAAAAAACATTCGATTCGTATTGATAAGGAGACGTGCTGATTAGTTTTTGGCGAAGTCAGGTCTAGCCGTTCCGAAGATACGGGGCAAAAAGTGCCGAAAACGGTAACTCAGTTTTTAAGAGAACGGAGCGTCCGATTTTAATAATTCAAAAAACGTTTTACTTGTATTGACAAGGTGAAATACCGATCAAATTTTCATAAAGGCAGGTTTAGCGGTTTCGGAGATCTAATGAAAAAAGTAAAATAAAATGCCATTTGGCGGTCAAAAATGATCATTAGACATATGCACATCAAATTATCAGATATTTTATAGAGATTTTAACAATAAGTATAATTTTGGTTTACATTCCTATGGGTTCCGTACCAATGTTTACGCGTTAGACGTCGACGGCGGAGCTTACGCGGTTTGATATTTCGTCTTTATGCAGTTAAAGCAGTACGATTGCTTTGAAAAAAAGTTTAGATCTTTCAAAATATGTCAAAATAAAGAAAACATTTTTTTTTCAAAAAAAAAAATTAAAAAAAAAAATTAAAAAAAATTTTTTTTTTCAAAAAAAAGTAATTTTTTGTCTAATTGTTTGTCAAAAATCTTATTTTTTTGAAGTAAATTTTTTTCAAAAATGCTAATCGTTTTTAAAAAAATAATTTTTGGTACGGGAAGTTCCAGCAATTTGCCTTAAGGCACGATGCCTTAATTGCCTTAAGACAGAATTCCACTTACAGCTAGTCATATTTGTCAGAAACCGTACTTTGCGTGAGAAAATAGTCACGAAAGCTGCGTCAGCTTGTTCAACTTTCGCCAAAATTTTCGAATTCAAACCGTAAGTTTTAGGCGTTTTTTTAGGCCTATAATAGTTTTGAATACTCGTCTGAGCCGTGAACTCCATTGTATATATAAGGCTTCATTAAAAATGCCAAAGAATTTCTTTATCAATTATTTACGAAAAAAATGCCAATGCTGATTTTTTACTTTAGTGAACTGTTTTGGAATTTTTAAAATCGGTTCACGATTTTTGGAGTTCAGAATTTTGCTCTTAACTGCTACTCATAGAGAAAGGCATCGTTCCGCAAAACTACTAATAAATACGAATCTTTATCGAGTCTCATAAAATAAATTTTATGTTAATTTTTGAGTTTTGAAAATTTGTTCAAGATTTTTGAAATTATGAATTTCGTATATAATTGCTACTTGGGCCAGCTGTGGCTATATCGGTTAGAACGAGGGCTAGCACCAACTAGTCCCGGGTTCGCTGGTTCGATCCCGCTACGGCCGTAGTCTGACATCAGGCAACTTTGATATCAAATTTCAACTTGGGGTTATAGATCACAATATCATTTCAAGTGGAAATCGTTCTTCGTAGCTGCATCATTTCAATCATATAATAACTATTAGACGTAAGAACTAATATAAAAACCCCACACATAAGAGAATGGTAAACCGATAAATTGCCTCTCATAAAATACGTTAGGTCTTCAACCAACAGCTTATAGAACATGTAAAGTAAGAGTTTTGATTAAAACAATAAAAAAAATACTTAAAACAGGTGAAAAAGGGGTACGATGGTTAGTACGATCGGTTTACTACGGCCAATCGTTACGCAACACACTCAACGCAAGTCAACCCACTCAACCCACAATATCAAATAGTTTTAAAATTTTTGTAATCGGTCCAGCCGTTTTTGAGAAAACATCGACCAATGGTTATTCACCAATTGCCGATTACAAAATAAATACAGACCAATTAAAAATAAATTATCCAAATTTGTCAAACAATTCTGAATGACTTTAAACCTTAGAATTTGATATTTATATCTTCTCAAAATGTAATTTGTTTGCAATTCAAATTATTCGAATATTGAGTGAATGACTGAGTTTAACTCTACACAATTTTATTTTAAAACCTTTATCAAAATATTAAAATAATTATATAATTTATTTTCCAGGTAGCTCAAGTTTAAGTTTTTCAAGTTGATATATATTAAATATTATCAATCATAATTAAAACTACATTTCATTTTAGAGTGTGAAAAATATATATCTCAACTAGTGGGGTGCATGGCATCCTGCTTTAAGGCAAATTTCTGGAACTTCCCGTACTGTAATTAAAAGCTTGGTGCGGAACCCAAAAAATTTTACACAAAATGAGTACACATTAAAATCTTTATAAAGTGTCTGATGATTTGATGCACATATGTCCAATAAACATTTTTGAGCGCCAAATGACATTTTTGTAACTTATTTTTATTGAGAGTCCATAACCGCTGGACCTGCCCTTTCACTTTTTGCCCCGTATCTTCGAAACGGCTAGACCTGCCTTCGTCAAAAACTAATCAGAACGTCTCCTTATCAATACGAATCGAATGTTTTTTGAATTATTCAAATCGGTAGATCTGTGTTCCCGAAATCGTCGACATAAATTTGTATCCGCGCACACACATACATTTTTTCTAAGGTATGCCAAAATATTCAGAAACCTTTAAAACGCAAAGATATATAAAAGTTTCGATTTTCGATTTTTTGCGATTACTACAACTTAACCTACGGGAAGTTAAAAATCCAAATTTTTAAATGATATTGTGAAGCCAATTATCCTCACAAGCTTACTTTATTCACATAATATTAATTAATATGTGAATTAATAAGTTAACTTATACGATACGATACGATACGATACGAAAGTCAAATAAATTCATATAAATAAAATAATTAAAATTAACTATAAGCCACAACTAAGAATATTTCGATATAGTATCTATGCTCAGGAACCGTTGCAATTAATAATTAATAATAGGTATGAAATTATTATCTTTAAAAGTATAACTCACTTAATAACGCGTTAAATTAACTATTAGTGGAGGGGTATGGCGACTAGTCCCCTCCAAGAATTTTTCTCAACAGAGACGTCGTCTACTCACATGTCAAAAGCAAATAAATAATGTTGTATCTACATTTATAGTCTTATATTGTGATTATGCAGTTTTGAAATTAGTTAATTTATAGATTATTTGTAAATAGATTTTGTGAAAAATTTAATATATTATACTTGCGAAATGAAGACGCAATGGATTGTGTTAGGAGCTTTGTCTGTGATTTTAAGCGGTTTACTAATCGCCTATTACTGCGAAGCGACCGGTGATTACTTTGAAGGTAAATAGAGTGTGTGATTTAATTTTAATTACTTGATTAGACACAGCTACGTACTAACGGTTATTATATGAGTAATTTAAAAATGAGAAGAAAATTACATAACAATAAATGCAACTAAATTAAGCTATTACAGTCCTAGGCGTAAGTGGCATTTTGCCTTAAATAAGGTGACCGTAGTTTTTTGAGTGACCATGAAAACTGACGCGGCAACTTGTGGTTATGATAATCCGAGATCGGAGAAAAGGTTTTTATACTAACTTAAATTTTATTTAAAATAATAAATATTATTCAAGGATACAATATAAATTAGTTTTTTTATAATAAAATCAGAATTACTGACTTTTAGTAGGCCTTGTTCAATAAAATATTCAATGTTAAGCTTTATATAATGTCAAAATTTTAACTTAACAATAATAAAATTAAAAATAATTAACTTCATAATTTTTATCAATTTTCTTAAGGCTCAAAATAAAAGTTCAAAATTATTAATATGAGTGGCTAATTTTTTAAGACTCAAAATAAAAGTTAAAAATTATTAATGTGAGTGGCTATTTCAACCTGCTCTATATAGACCATTTTCATATATTTAAAGGTTGTTGTGATTTTATCATAAAGTTATTGCGAAGAATGAATTTAAAACTATACATTTACACAAACTCAGGATAATCCGGAACAAAAGTTCGAAATCCGGGACAAATATTGCTATTTAGATTTCGTTGAAGATCAATTTATTTTGAGATAAAGTGTTTTGTTTGATTTAACGACGTTGATGGAGTTTATAATTTTCACTTACTTTGTGATAGATTTAACAACAAATAAATTTTTGTTTTTTTCTTTCTGAATATATCTAAAAAAACATAATAATTCCGTGTAAAAATTCAACGTAAACCCGGGACGCAAGGTAGAAATTCGGGACTGTCCCGGAACGTTTGGTCTCCTTACCTTGGCAAGTTGTAAATAATCTACTTTAAAAATTGTGATACTTGAATATTAAAATTTTAATCCTGTTTTTTATAATTTGACACTGATTGTTTCATAGGTCGGATCGTTATAAAAAGTTTCATCATTATCTAATGGAGAATATAAAGAAAGATATTTAAACTGATATTTTTGAAAGGGTTTTAATATTCAAAATCAATTCAGATTTTTTTTTGCCAAAATGTTGTTAAAGATATTAGTACTTTTCTGCTAATACTAAAGAAACGATGCGCTCTATCGTCTTGGTTTGAGAAAAATCAAATTTTGGCTCACATTCATGGACACACACATTACACGAAATTGTCATGCTTTTCTTTAGATGTATTTAGAAAGAAAAAAAAACAAAAATTTATTTGTTGTTAATTCAATCACAAAGTAAGTGAAAATTATAAACACCATCAACGTCTTTAAATCAAACAAAACACTTTATCTCAAAATAAATTTACCTTCAACGAAATCTAAATAGCATTGTCTAAGTTCGCTTACACACATACTAAAAATGTTTGATGACAAACAATTCGCAAAAAACTACTAATTCACAAGAGAACAAACGTTTTATTTGTCGTTAAGAATTTCTTAGAAACTTTATATGGCATCATTTTACTGAAAATAGAAGTATTAGTATATCTACACGTGGTTCGCGTATTAATCAACCGCAAATATTCAGCGTATTATGTTGCTAATATCTTATGAGATAATATTTATTGACTTTAAAATATGTTATAATTATAGATACAATTAAGAAGAGTTTTTAGGATCAATTAAATTTTTACATAGAAGATTTTCATAAAAAAAGTATTTCTTTTGAGCTCAAATCGTGTACAATCTTTGTACCCGATTGGAGCACCTTAAATAGGTCAAAGTAAAAATTTTCAATTTTTTTTTTTTTTTTTTTTTTATTAACTCTTTTATTTACAACTGTCCAGTATATAGGACATTCAGTAAATTTAATGGATTTACAATAGTCCGCCGAGAAGGTACATTGTATACTACTTTGACATGTTGGAAAAAACAACTCAGTAGTTTTCAAATTTTAACCCTTATTATTGGGTCAATGCGCGGAACATCAAATTTCATTTTAAAGATATGGTTTCTTCAGAAAACTATTTTATTTTGATTCCTAGTATCAGAAAATCATATCTGCCTGAGCAACATTTTTTGGCTCATACAAATCAATTGTGGCTTAAGGCAAATTGCTGGAACTTCTCGTACCGTGACGAAATATCCGAGGAATATTAAATATTTTCAAATAGATTAGTGTAAATACTGAAAATTGTCTAATACTTATGAGAATTTTATATGAACTAGATTGCAAAATTAAAATTATTTTTTTAAAGTTTGTAAGTGAGCTTTAGAACTTTAGCCAAAATTAAAATAAAAAACCAAATTATTTTCAATATACAGACCTTTGAAACGTAAAAATATGCGAAAATTTTCATTTCCAATTTTTGGTCGATTACAATATCCCTACAAGAAGTAAATAATTCTAAATGCATAATACCACTGATGCAAAGTATTTTTTGCGAATGATATAGATCAGCATTGAAGATCTTTTTACTTCAAAAGGATTTCAGTCAGTTATTAATAATATTATTAAAACTTTTTAGTGACTCATAATGATCCCAAACAACATATAATAAAAATTCAACAGTTGATAAGATAATATTATATTGTTTATTAGTTTATTATATTCAATAATAAAATTGTCAACAATTAAATTGATATCGATATTTTGTTCGCGATAAAGTTGGCATGTGTTGACTGCAAATCAATGAAGGCTTATGTGAATTAGTACAATTGCCTTTATTTAACCTGCTCCAATGCACAAGATCAAGGTACAACGCGCAATTGAGATTTCTATACCGCTTCTAGTACCGCAATTAGAATGTAATTGGATATAAAATTCGTACCAGGCATTGGCAACATTCTAAATTAACAGGTCGAAAAATACCAGTAATTCTCTAATGGCATAAAGATACTCGAGTTCTATTTTCAATTTGAATTTTATTTAATAACATAATTATCATTTTTATTAATTAACGCTGTTTAATGTGCTTTATTACTGATAACAAATATGAAGATTAATTGAAATATTGAAATTTTTGTCTAAACGTCATTTTTTTGCTTTGTTATTCATATACAACAAAATCGATTTGAAGGTACTTTTGATTCGATTTCTGAATTTCTTATATTGAAGGGTTAGACAATAACAATTTTTTACATGGACAACACTGTAAACCTCGATCTGGTATTTCGTCAGAAATATTTATCAGCAGAGTTAGGACAATTATTCATTTGATTTATCTCTTGTAAAAGTGCCTTTTTAATTTAATTAACTTCCCATAGGGTAAGTTATAATAGTGATCGCAAAAAAACCGAAAACGATAATTTTTATATATCTTTACGTTTCAAAACCTTCTGAACATTTTAGCATACCTTAGAAAAAATTGATATGTGTGTGTATGTGTATGTGTGTATGGGTGTGCGTGTGTGTGTATGTGTGCGAATATAAATTTTCGTTTATGATTTTGGGAACACCGATCAACCGATTTGAATATTTCAAAAAACATTCGATTCGCATTGATAAGAAGACGTGATTTTAAAAATTCAAAAAACATTTTAAATGTTTTGACAAGATGAAGAACTGATTCAATTTTTGTAAGGTCAGGTCCGGCGGTTATTGACTTTCAATAAAAATAAGTTAAAAAAATGTCATTTGGCGGCCAAACATGTTTATAGGACATATGTACATTAATTTATCAGATATTTTATAGAGATTTTAATAATGCATACACATTTTGTGCATATTTTTTGGGTTCCGTAACGATACGGGAAGTTCCAAATTTGCCTCAAGGCACGATGCCATGCACCTCACTAGTTTAACAACATAATTATAATTTTTATTGTTTAATGTTGTTTCATATGCGTTTAGAGATGTGCTCTATTACTAATAATAAATATGAAGATTAATTAAAATATTGAAATTTTCGTCTAAACATCATTTTTTTGCCTTGTTATTCATATACACAGTCAATAAACAAAGTCGATTAGAAGGTACTTCGACTCTATTTCTAAATTTCTTATTTTAAAGGATCAGGCAATAATAATTTTTTTACGGAGATAACAGTGTATATGATCTTTGATCTGGTATTTATTCAGAAATATTAATTTGATTTATCACTTGTAACATTGCTCTTTATAAGTTAATTTATTTTTTTATTTACTATTTTTTATGATTTACACCTTTGTCAGAGCAAAGGTTTACTTGGTCCTTTGCACTCCACCCATGTGTAAGTTTTTGTAGAGGTTATATATAAAAAGAACTGCTGAATCTAACTTAAAATTAATATTACATCTTATAAAACATTAAAATAACGTATACTTGAAAATTAAGTTAAGGTCTCATAAACTAAACAACAGTGCTCACAAACAGAAAAACGAAAGAATTTAGTTAATTTCCCGATAGCAACAACGTAAGAATCAAGGCGGTGGCTGGTTTTATACATTTTTTCTCTTAACTTTCAAATATAGTTATTAAGAAATTCTTATTTTTATTTGTTTTTGTGATATCGGTGGTGGACCTTTTTACCCGCGGACTTTTAACCCTCGCTTCACCCTATATAAATATTAAAATACTAGCTGAGCTCACACACCAGTGTTTTCAAATTGAACCGGTTTTTTGTCATCAAACAATAAAAAAATATTTCTTTTTTGAGTTAAAAATCAAATAAAAAATAAAAATTTGAACAAAATTATAGAATAGATTTAAAAAAATATTTTATTTTAAATTGTTATTTCATTTCAAATTGATTTTCCTTTTGAAATTACTGCAAATTCTAAATGAGTTCTGTATTTCCTTACTATACAAACACAATATTTATGAAAATTATAATTAAAAATGCGAAGAGATGCAATTGTCTACAATTATAATATAAATCAAACTAAGAAGTTTATACCAAACTAAGGCATCCTGAATCAAAAAATATTTTATTAATCACTTCTAATAGTCACGTACTTCCCAATAATCAGGTATTTGTAATTAATCTTGTCTCTATCTGATTTATTTAGAATTGCCGTAAGAAATAATGTAAATGAGTAAAAGTTTTAATTTTTGTAAAATAAATTAATACTGAGATAATCAAAAAGCTCACCTATCCTTGAAACTAGAATAGAGCCATAGATTGTCTTTTTTTATTGTCAAGATAGAATAATATTTTTTATAAAATATATTAGTCCAATAATCGAATATTCAACAAAAATTTTATGGAATATTATATTTTACCATTCTGATAATAAATTCTATAGGTGTTTACGTACAATTTTTTACGTATATCATGTAGTATTTGAACCAAACCAAACTCTGTATACACATAACATGTGTCACATATGATCATTAAATAATAAAATTTGACAAAGCCTTGAGATAAAAAATCTGATTAAAATGTTACACATACATTCAAGAATTACTTATGTGAAAAAAGATTAATTTCATAGCAATTTATGAAATACCTGACAATAAGTTTACATGATACATTCAAAATGTGTTTATTCATGATTAAGGTTGGAATATAAATAGTACAGCTTATGGAAGATTACTTTTCAGTGTGTGATTTTTATGTAGAAAATATTTTCGTACAAACTATATTTTTAAAATTAAATAATAGTGCGTCGTATTGCGTTTAAAATATATAATTAGTGCTAAGCTGTGTATTTTCAATAGAGATCATGTTTCTAACAATGCTGATGCTTGGATTCGTAGCAATTAATCAAACGATCGCAGAAGGCAAGTCTTTTTTATTATTAAAATTTAATAAATTAAAATATAAATCAAACTGTACTAATCTGAAAAATAGTTTACGATAAATTCAACATAAATTAGTACTCCTATTGTATTCTCAATAAACAAGTTCGTCCAACGTTTTACTGTTTTTTTACATAGCTAATGGTTATTTCTATCACAACCTACAGATACATCTGAAAATATATCAATTTTGATGAATGATTTGTTTTCGGTACGAACAAGTTTTTTCTGATTGGAAGAAAAAACTATTTGAAAGAGGTCATTGAATTGTCAAAAAAAGATTCTTCTTGTATTTAAAGTTAGTCGAGTGCCTGATAGGTTTTAAATACTGAAGTCTTCGAATTTATTTCTTGCTATAAATTTTTTAGTAGACAAAGCATATCATTCTTTACAGATGTTAACGTTAGGTAATACTTATAATTATCTTATAATTTAATATATGATAATATCATTTTATTATCAGTTTGATTTGACCTCGATTTAAGCTACTATTTTATCAAAGTCTTTTGGATATTTTAATTTTTAATTTCTACGCACAGTTAGGTTTCAGTGTTTATTGTTGATTAAAATTTCATATAAACCAATGTTTAAAATTTGTGTTTTGTATCATGTATAGAAACTTCTAACCAAAGAAGTAATTATTAAATCTTTTTTTAATTCTACGAATTGGCTGCTAATGTTTCTATAATATGATTATATTATAATAATAAAAATATGTATTGCTAATTAAAATTATTTATCTTTAACTGCCACTTCTCTATTAATTTGAGTTATAACATATCTATTACGACAGATTTATTTTTAAATATTAGAACAACTATTCTATTCAGTTGATAAGTAATGTACTAATATAAAATTATCTAGTTTCAAATTAAATTAAGACTCTATTAATACTAGTCAATTCTTGAAAAAAACTTATTAGGAAACAGATAATAAATTTTTACAAATATTGCTTTTATTTATTTAAAAATCAATTCCATATCTTAAATTATCAGAAAATTGAATTAAAAATAATTGGCTATTTTATTAATCATTTTTATTAACAGGGTCCAAATATTCATCTAACAGAAAGTAAGATGTGTATATTAAAAATTTTGACATGAATATGAAGATCTCTAATCCAATTTATTATGTTTAAAAGTTTTCTCGGCTTCAAACTTTCTTACAGCCATTTCTATACAATGTCTAAAAATAGTAGGAACTTAGTGAAAGCTTAGAATCAAAGCAAATTTTTATTGATTTTGAGATTTCACTTATTTTAGATTGTTGTCAAATAGATTATTATTACGAAATGTTATTATCTTTTAGCTCAAAATGATCGAAAAGTGTGAAATTTCTCAACAATTTTTATGCCAATAAAAGTTACTTGTAACTAATAATCAATATTTACTTGTGAATTTATTTCTTTATTAACAAGTACTTCATTATTTATTGTGAAGTGTTTACAAACGCAGGAAAATAAACACTTTGCTTTGCTAAATAATTTACAATAGATTAATGCGTAATTAACTGATAAGCATGTAATATAATACATGAAAATTATATAAAAATCCATTACTTATCACAAATTAATATGACAATAGAAACCATTCCATATCACCAAAATGAAGGTAATGAATAATTAAATGAATAATTTAATTTGTTTCAAAGTGGATCAAAGCTAGTTAAAAAATTACAATCAAACAGCAAGACTTAAAGAGCATTTGTGTATATATTATATGTATAAATTTTGAATAACAAATTAATATGCTATATCAATTATTATGAAGGGTAGAGCTTTTATCGTATTTCGACCATAAACCCACCACGTCGCCACTTTAGTAAAATTTTTAGCATGAATAGTGGTACCTTCAAAATTTACATCATCTGGAGCCCTTAGCAAATTCTTTTGATAAGGCCCATGGCAAAAATGTTTTGATGAGGCCTTATCAGAAAAAAATCTTCACATTATTCTCGGTTTAATTTTAAAGTACTTCGAGATATTTTGAAGTAGTCAATTGCACAAGTTGTATATTTACCACTACTGACGTAGGCCTATGGTAATAGGCCTCCTCTCTCCTAGACCAGAGTACTTTTAAAACAAATGGTAAATGTAAATTTCGAATTAAAATATATAAAATCGAAATTTGCAAAATCCATGCTCAAGAAATTAATGTGAAAAATTTGGCGAAAATCAGTATAAAATAAAAAATATTTCCAAAACAGCATTTTGGGCTGGGATCCTCTTGGATCAGGAACCTTATAAATACGGCACTGACCATAAAATAATCATGCATATAGAATTATTACAAAATTATTCAAAATGATACAAAACAATCGTATGAAAATATATTAAAATTAATTGTTACATTTGATTGTTGATTGATTGCTAAAGCTGACGTAATTGCCTTTTGTATGTGAATCGGAACAAAATGCATTAGTTGTGGTTTATATATTATTTATTAGAAACAATAAGGTTATAAAAAGAATCAAATTGTTTACAAAAGTCAAAGAAGACAATGTTTCACTATTCGATTACGTAAAGATCTAATAAGATGTAAGAAATGTTTTATTAAAATTTCCGTAGAAGAGTATATGTAATAGATGTTTTTTAAATAATTCTGCAAAATCTTCAGAAATATTAAGTTTAATAGTGTAAAAGATGCATTCGTGGTTTTATTTACTTTACAAATATAATTGATAATACACTTGAGATGGAGAGCATTTCCATAAATAATTAAGTATATTTAATTAAAATTCAATACTTTGTAATTTACGATGATTTTATTACACATCGATATATATTTTTACACTTTTTTGTTTTTGTATATAAAATCACATATGTACTTAATCTAACTAGAAGCTAATTTGCTCCACATGTTTAAAGCATGAAAGAAGTCTTTATTTTTGCCTTAATGTTATAATATCAGATACTTGTGAAATGAAAATAGCTAAAAATATATAATTCTTATAGAAAAAAAATCTTTTTAGATAATTTACTCGAATAATATGATATTTATATTAGCTAATAATGAGTTCTTCAATATATAATGTACACGCAATTAATTTTAATAAAGTGTTTTAAAATTCCTGCCGTAAATATTATTCACAATTTAAATAGTGTTCGTAAATAGCGAACAATACTTGAAAAACAAATTTCAAGTATTACTAAATAAATGTGGAAGTTTGAAGAAAATCAATTATGTAGTTTAATTTGACTGTCAATTTCAAATGTCCTTTTTCTCGATTTTTGCAGATAAAAACCATTGGTTTGCATCTGCCAGGTCTGAACTCAAATCAGCTTTGAATTTAAATCTGGTGACAAATCATGCAAGGAGCGCAATTCTGTTTGTTGGTGACGGAATGGGGCCAAATACAGTAACTGCCTCTAGAATTTTGAGATATGATGAAGGCGGTTTACTGTCCTTTGAAAAATTTCCACACATTGGCTTGCTTAAGGTAATTTGCATGAAAATAAATAAATACGTTGCAAAACTATAATATTTGCATAGATATGGACTTAAGAATTGAATCGAACATTAAATTACATTTTGCACATTATAGACATATTGCGTAAACAAACAAGTTCCAGATTCTGCAAGTACAGCTACTGCACTTTTCTGTGGTTCAAAAACGAATTACGAAACTTCAGGAGTGGATGCCAATGTAGAACTTAAGGATTGTCCAGCGTCCATGAAACCTCAAAGTAGACTGGAGTCTATTATAGGGTGGGCTCAAAGAACTGGGAAATCTACTGGTGAGAGCGAATGGATAATAGAATCAAATACCAAATAACAATATTTTTCCCAATTTATTTGATAGTATGATAGTAACGTCAATTTGAATCTTTATTGCCAATATACTAATCGCTATATGGCAATACCTACTTACTTTAAAGATTTTTGGTACAAAATATTCTTACTTAAGTGTTGATACAACTTCTAAATATATTTTTTATATCCGATCAAACCTCTGAAATTTAAAGAGCCCTCTAAAATGATAACTATCCATATCCATTTTTGTTATGATAAATTTCGTTATATTAATGTTATTACGTTGGTCTGAAATTTTATTATAATAAAAGTAGGAGTTTATGCAGTGTAGTACACTGAGTGTACTGTCTTAAGGCATTTCTCGATCTAACAGATCTAAGTTATATCAAACATTTACGTAAGATTTTTTTTAAACTGCCTTTCCAGAGCATTTAGCCATTTACGACATTTGTCTTAATCTCCTATTAAATATTATTCATAAAAATGTTATCCTATTGGTTTTTGAATCCAATCCAATACAATCTATCCAATTTTTACCAAATTTTTACCAAATTTTTACCAAATTTCTACCTTTGCACATATTTTCAAGTTAAAACCAATATGTGATACTACTTAATAACAGGATGTACGTGACGCTGGATTTGAACCTAAAATCTTGTGGTTGCTAGGCTGAGGCTGTGTTGCGCCTCGTACTTTGTAGTTAAGAAGGTATACTAGAGTAGGAGGTTGCTTAAGTCGTATCCCTGAGGAAGGATTCCTGTAATGATTAATGCAATTGCAATAAAAAACTAGTGGTGAACATCCCGTACCAAAAATTAAAACTTTTAATAAACCTTTTAAAATTTTTTGATGACATGGAGAAAATAAGATTTTTGAGAATTTTGAAAGTTTTGAAAAAATTTGATCTTTTTGAACAATTTGAATTCTTTTTTATACTTCGAATTTTTTATACTTTGAATTTTTCAGAGAAATTTGAACTTTTTTTTCATAGCAATCGTGTTGCACGGCTATTTTAGAGAAGAAATATCAAAGCGCGTAAGCGCCGCATCGCAGTATAACGGATAATAAACATTGAAACGGAACTCAGAAATGTGAACAAAATTTATACTTATTAAAATCTCTATAAAATATCAGATAAAATGATTTGTAAATTATTCAAATCGGACGCTCAAAACAAAATTACCATGTTTGGCTCTTTTTGCTCCGTATCTTCGAAACGGCTAGCCCTGCCTGTGCCAAAAACTAATCAGCACTAATCTCCTTGTCGGGACGATTCGAACATTTTTTGAATTATTCACACACAAACATCAATCTTTTCTAAGGTATGCCAAAAATGTTCTCAAACCTCTCAAACGTAAAGATATATAAAAATTCTCATTTTCGATTTTTTTGCGATTGCTATAACTTACGCACAGAGAAGTTAAAAATGTTTGGCATTTATATAGTTGACATCAAGGCAGTAGTATGATTCGAAAAGTTGTAAGAGTTTTTGCTTCATTGTTTATAATCATTGATTTTTTTATACATAACTCATATTTCAAAACGTTTAATTGGCAATATATTTTATATGAATAAAAAGAGCTAAACGTTAAAAAGTAAAGCATCCTTAAACTTCACATGTATTTGTTCACATACATATGTTCTTCATATGTATTTTATAGTAAACATGTGTTCAATATGAAACGATGTCATTTTTCACATACAATTTTGTAATAAATAAAATTATATCAATAATCAAGGTTTTGTCACCACGACGAGAGTTACCCACGCCACTCCTAGTGCCTTATATAGCCATACAGCAGACAGACGTTGGGAATGCGAAGCCAAAATGAACAATATTACTGGTGATTGTGAAGATATCGCAGTGCAGCTGGTACGACGTGAACCAGGAAAAAATATAAATGTAAGCTGGTTTGAAAAACCGTATATTAATTGAATTAATTGGTTCATGAAACACATAATCTGGCATCCAATCATTCCGCATATGAATCAACATAGAATAGGTTTAACAATTTTGGTTAACAATTCAATTATCCTTTCAGGTGATAATGGGTGGTGGTCGTCAGTGTCTAGTATCAAATTCTAACGGTTCTGATGCTGATCCTATAGATACATGGGCATGCATTAGTAAAGATGGAAGAGACCTGATTTCTGAATGGAAAAAGGACAAGAAAGAGCGAAAAATAAAACATACTGTCGTTCAAAACACAGCAGAATTGCAAAATATAGACCCAAGTGAAACTGACTACGTTTTTGGTAAATATAATTTTTCATCATACTTTCTTGTATTCTTATGAAAGTTCTTTATTGATCAGTTGGAGAGGTAAAAATTATTGAATTAGATAGAATAGACTGATAGACTTACGAATTTTTTTCAATGTTAGTTGTTTATTTGCATTTGTTTAACTTGAATATTTTGCTAGACAGGTATTTTTGCAAATGGTCACTTGAAATATGAAGTGGAAAGGGATAAATCTCCTCAAGGAATGCCATCTTTGAAAGAAATGACGGATGCAGCCATTAAAATACTACAAAAGAATAAAAATGGCTTTATATTAGTGGTGAGCATAACTTCTATATAAATTTCAAATCAGTGAAATGAATACTGTAGTAAACACTGTTCATAATGCATTGCAGGGAACACTAATAGTTTAGGTTCGCTGTTTCTTAAATAAATACAATTCGTAACTTATCAGACTTTTGCCTAATTTTATGACTTTTTTGAAAATACAGAGATCATACAATTAATTTATAAGATAGTTGCTAAACTGTACAGGAAACCATGCTAAATACTGTGGGAATAATTGGCTTTGTGTATATATACGGCTTCGGCTTCCTGCCGATACATTTAAGAAATTGTGCTTCTCATTGAATATAATCAGCTTGGCCATTGCAAAGTGATATTCAATGAGAATATTGTTTCATTATAATTATTTGAAGCACTACAATCACGGACCTTATTTTCAGCAAGGTCATACTAACTATGAGTAACTATTGACTCTAACACGCACATACTCTTAATTTTTCTTAAAAAAAGTAATAATAAAAAATATGCTATTCGTAAAAAATTGTTTGCAAAGTATAAGTACATTACTCAACCATGATGTTATTAAAATATTTATTTATAACTGTAAATATTCAAGGTAGAAGGCGGTTTGATAGACCAGGCTCATCATAGGGGAACGGCCGCGCGGGCTCTGTACGAGACTTTGGCCTTGGATGACGCCGTTGCTTCGGCTGTCGAATTGACGAAACCACAAGAAGATACACTTATTGTTGTTACAAGTGACCACTCTCATACTCTATCAATAAATGGATATCCGAAACGAGGAAACCATATATTAGGTACTTATTTTGTTAAATTTGTAAATATCCGAGGATTCTAAACACACGCAATATAGACCATTTTCGTTGTACTCTATTACCAAGTTACCCACTTAAAAAGGCCTGATTATCATAATACTGCAAATTAGAAATGAGAGTTTTTATATATTATTTGAACATGAGAGTTTTTATATATTATTAGAACAAAGGGTTCTATGAGCTGCTTCGATGATTTGACTTAACTAACTTCGTTGGTTTTATAGATGGCAAGCCCAATAGTACCAACTAGTAGGCAACCAAGTACCCACTCAAAACAGCCTGATTATGAAAACACTATCTATTAGAAATGATGTGTTTTTATATATTATTTGTTCAAGATTCAAAACTTAAAGTTTCTATAAGCTGCTCTGATAATTTGACTAGTTACCGCTTTTATAGATGGCAACTCGAACATTTATCCCATATCTGTGTGATAAATTTTTTATTATTACAATTTCTGTAATGGTCATGCAATTTTTATCCATTCAGCAATATCTAGTAAGGGCAAATTTCACTTTGAAAGATATTGCTAATTATTTTTCGAAGCATAAACGAATGTCAATACTACTTGACATCAGGGTGCTCGAGGCGGGTATCGAATCTGGAACATTTGATTGTTATAAATTGTAACAAATATACTTTAGAGTATTCATACTTAGATGTATATTATATTCATTTTTGGTGGGCTATGCTCAAGAGTTATTAGTTAGAGCTACAGGATTTGAAAATTGTAAGTTACAATGTGAAAGAGCTATGAAATTTTTCACAAACTTCTATTATACTTAATTTAAGAGAAAAATTAAATGTCGCTTTTAATTCATTTTTAATCGTTAGTTGCATGCATGCATGCTTCTGAACGAGTCTAATTTGAACCAGATTCGTACTCTTAAAGCCAATCATTTATTTTGTGGATTACAATTTTTTTGGGAAATTAATTTGCTGTTTTTGCTATAGTGCCTCAATTGTTTAGGACTATTCATTTATCGTTATGAGGGATATTTCATGAACTAATTACCACTTTTAAATATTTTAAACATCACTATTGCAAATTTAATTGGGAGTTTTGAATCACCAAAATAATGTCAAGTTACCTAAGTTAGTTATTCATGTAAGCAATTTATTTTTCAAAAAAAAAAAAACAGCAAAATTTCTACTGGAGGAATTCACATGTATTTTAATATAATGTAATATCTTTACAAAAAAACAAATAGTTTTTTTTAATTTCTATCAATTTATTTATTTATATACCGAATCTATAATCTATAGTTTTATTTCGCTTCATTTTTATGAATTCTACAGATTTTAAAATTACTCTTATTATCTGCTTTTTCCATTTATTACTTCATCTGTTTTTTTTCAATTTACTTTTCAAATCTGATTTTCAAACTTTCCATTTACTTTTTTGACATTTCATAAAGTAAACGAGTTTAAACAATTTACAGCATTTCATTAATTTTTCTATTTAGTAATTTTCAATAGTTTGGTAATACTTTTCACTTCTAATTATCCATAATACTAATCTTAAAATTATATAAATTAGATATCATAGATAATTGTAGCAAATCTTGCCAAAAACATTGATATTCTATTATTCTAATAAAATAAGAATATAAATGTTTACCATCCCTTAATTCGAGTAAATGTGCAAACCACCCTATTAACTTTGGCTATCCCTCGACAGATGTCGGTTCCAAGTCGCGCTTTGACGACAAACCGTACACAACCCTTACGTATGCAACTGGAGGTCCTGGAAGCTCTCAATTAGAACCCAACGGCCGCAGGGACCCTTCACAGGACAACACGAGGGACCCCATGTATCAACAACAGGCGTTGGTTGAAACTGATGAAAATACTCATGGAGGAAATGATGTACTGGTGTATGCAAAAGGTAATAATAGTTATTGGAAACCGAAATTTGCTAAATAAATGTATGTAATGAGATAGGAAGAATTTGAAAAGATTTTCTTTCAGCTTAAATTTGAATTAAATTAATATTTAAAATAATTTTCATGAGAGCTTCTGCATAAATTTTAAACTATTAGACCTTTTAGAGTAAATGAGGTTTTTTGTAATATGAATTACTAATAAAAATATCGAAAATATATACAGATTTATACAGTAATAGCTTAATGTCGTTCTTTACTATTACATTGACCTTATCTTACAACACAATAGATATATTATTGAAATGATATATAATCACTATTGTTAACTGCAAAGGTGATTAACAATATTAATATTTATTATAAAATATTAATTAAAATGAATCATTACAAGGAACATAAACAATCGAGTAGGTATTCGGATTACTGACTGACTATGTAAATTAATTTATTTAAATAATAAACTTTAATATTGATATTAGAAATTTCTGTCTCTTTGTATACCAGATTTTTTCTTAATTCAACTTGTACTTATATTGATAACTATACAATGTTATTATCTGGTTATCGTGAATTCATTGGGTGTTTTTTGCTTACTCATCATGTATCAATTTATTACTCAAATATTAGCAATTGATATCTATAGAAATTATTATATTTATTATGTCATTAAACGCATTTAATATATTTATTATAGTAATGTATACAGTAGACTCTCACTAATTCAAAACTTCGATAGACCGGAATCATCAGCCAAAAAAATCAGTCATCCGACACATTTGCGACCGAATCTTTTGGAAATTTTTCAAAATTTTAACGTTATTTCTAATATCATATGTTAAAAATTATGGCTGCTTTACTATAATCCAGTAAACATACCAGTAATCCGACACTCTTCAGTTTTTAATAATGTCGGATTAGCGAGAGTCTACTATACTGCACTAAATTATTGTTATTTCAGAAAAAGTTATATTTAAGCTTTTTTTCTATATTTTTCAATATAGATATAATTGTATATAAAAATAATATTAATCAATATATTATGAACAAAATATCATTTTTATAAGCCCATTTAAATTAAAAATGTATGTATTTGGCATATCATTTTTGTAATCCCATTTAAGCATTTTTAAATTAAAACTGTATGTAATTGGCATATTCATCATAATTGCGAGTATATCAGAGTTATTTATTCAGTGATCATAAATATTTTTTATAAAAAGTGCCAGAATTAGATCCCGCCCCCTTCTTTTATAATAGTACAGCATTTTGGGCAATGCTATTAACAGAAAAATAATAAATTTTAGGACTAAAATTGATGATTATATTTATCACAATCTATTTCATCGCAATTTACACACTGTTATGTATCTGATTTGATGATAATAATTGTAGTCGCATATGATTCTATTTAGTTTCATATTGGATTGTAGCGATAATCCACATATCGACATAATATTCAGATATATATATATATATATATATATATATATATATCGTATATTCATTATAACTAAAAGTAAATAAATTTTAAATATTCAGTATTTACAACTATTATTTATATGAAATGCCAAGATTAGATTTCAGAGCCACTTTCATGACTTTCAGTATATTATAGACTTTACTCTATTTTTTTTATAGTGGTCACTTTTTAATAACACATTTTCATATAAATTATTTTTTATATTAAAAACATTTCTATTATATTCAATAATTCATAATACGTGTATCATGACCTGATCGAATATAAATATTTTTATTAATATTTTTTTTTATTTCAGGTCCATTTGCACATCTATTTCATTCAGTTCATGAGCAGAGTTATGTTGCCCATGCCATAGGTTATGCAACTAAAATAGGACCATATTTATACTGCGTACCTGGCGTACATCCACATGGTTGTTAGTGTAATTAATAAAATTAATTAGATATGCCAACAGACAAACAGTTAAAAACATTACAGGGTAATTTCATATGCAGATATGTTACAATTAAGATAATGACTCAGTATTATATATAAAAGATCCTAGGTTAAGATTATCTTATCATAACAAGATTAAATCTGAATGTGATAGAGAAAATAAAATAAAATATTTGACACTAGGAATAATTTTGTTTAATATTTTAATAGTAATATTGCTTTGCTTAAAAATGAAAATTCAAATATGGAAGTTTTCCAATTAGTTCCTTAACAATCACTTCATTGTTTTGAAAATTTATCTAAACAAATATAGTATTATAATATTTTTCAAGCTACTTATTGATTAAGGTTAACTTTAGAAAATATTACTTTCCTGAAATAATGACGAACCGATTGACTGCAATAAAAAAACCTTAACAAAAAATTCATATAAGAAGAAGCAAGAGTTTAGCAAGTTCTAAAAGATATTAAATTAAAATAATAATAGATAGAATTAATGAAAATTAATATAATAATAATAAATTGTACGATCAAAATTGCTAATTAATTTTATTTTATCAAAATTTAAATCAATTATGATTTGAATAAGCATCACATAAGATAATAATTTTAGTCTTACAGGAATCTATTTAGTTTCTTATGGGATTGCAACAATAATCCACATATCGTTTCGAAACCGACTTCCAATAAAGAAAATACAATAAAAAATGTGATATGAAAGCATTATTATTAACAATTTAAAGAATCGTCGGGATTAATAAAAAAATATTGATAACTAAATAATAACTTTTAATTATTGAAACTTAAGTAATAAATTAGAATTGAATTTTATTTTATGTCAAATACTTTTACAATGTTATATGATTTTACATACCCCTTTATTACATTGAAATCATGTTTCACATTTCATAACTTCAGACTAACAAACAATCAACATCTCTAATGAATTACCGCTGAACTTTGACCTTATTTCAAATATTTTGTTTCTTGGCGTATGTAAAATAATAACCTATATATTAATTATTATTAACTGAATGGAAATAAGGCTGATATTACATAGAAAGGGTTGCCATGATATCGGTTTCAGATTCCACATATAATGTGTGGGTATTATTCATTAGCATTATAAGCAATGGAGGCCATACTAATGTGGTATTTTAAAATGTAACTACTTCTTAAAAAATGTTATTACAACTATATTGTAATTTAACTAAAAATTTAACTTAACTAAAACAACTATATTTTGTGGTTATATATGACATCAAGACCTATGGCAACTAACAAAATCTGTAAGACCGAAAAGACGTTTTTTATAGCCTTTTTTTATAACAATTAGAACACCACGTCATATAATAATTTAAATTATCAAAAATATTTAAAAGTGTTAGACTAAGTTATTATTGTTAACAGTTTTATAAAAAATCTCCCAAATATGATAACGAATATCATATTTAGTAACAGTTTGAATCAAATTAATCTATTAATAAAAATTTTATAATTAGTATGAGATGAATATAATAATTATTGCCAAACTCGATATGTAATGCAAGTTCACAATGATTTTGGTGAATTGTGTATTTAAAATAACATATTTAAACAAAGGCTTCTAAATATGTATATCTAGATATATGTATATGTAGATCATGATGAGGATTTGACACAATTGATTTTTTATATGGGTAGAATGTATCATGGTAGGGAGTGAATTTTATTAAAATTTCTATAATGTATGAAAGAATTAATGCGTTTGAAAAGGCTCTCAAGAAAGGAAATAGCTATTTGTTCCAAGATAATAATATTAAATTAGCGCAAAAAAGTTGTAAAAAAGTACTTATTTTATTTGTTTTTTAGATAAAGTGGCAGACCACTTTTTACCCGCGTTCCTTTAAGCCTACTAGCTTTTATTTATTATTAACTTCCCGTAGGGTAAGTTATTGTAATGGGCCGAAAATCGAAATTGAAAATTTTTACTTTTCTTGACGTTTTGAAGGTTTTTGAACGTTTTGGCATACCTCAGAAAAAATGAATGTGTGTGTGTGTGTATGTATGTATGGATACAAATTTCCAGTCACGTTTTTGGGCGCTCGGATCAACCGATTTGAATGGTTCAAAAACATTCGATTTCTATTGATAGGGAAAAGAGCTAATTAGTTTTTGGCGAAGGCAGGTCCGGCCGTTTCGGAGATACGGAGCAAAGAGTGCAGAAAATAGAAAACGACTTTTTAAGAGAACGGAAAATTCAATTAGTAATGATTGGAAGAAGTGTTTATTAGTTTTTGGCAAAGGCAGGCCCTGCCATTTCGAAGATACGGAGCTAAATATGTAACAAATGGCAGTTTTTGAGAGAACTAAGCGTCCGATTTAAATGAATCAAAGAACTTTCTGCTTGTCTTAACAAAATAATTGATTTTGGATAAAAAAATTGTATAATTTCTTTTTTCTTTTTTTAGTTTTTTCTGTATATCGAAAATAATTAAGATTTTATTTTTATTCTGACTAAAGTTCTAATATAACTTAAACAAATAATTTTAAATTTGCAATTCGGTTTATATAATTCTTATAAATATTAGGCAATGTTACAATATTTATAATAATCTATTTGAAAACATTCAGTATTTCTCGAACATTTTGTTACGGTACGGGAAGTTCCAGCAATTTGCCTTAAGGCACGATGCTATACACCCCACTAGTTTTATTATATATTATTCTAAGAATTTTAATATTTATCTGATCTTTGGCAAAAATACTAACAAAAACAATTACGCAGATGAATAACATTACATCTTCAAACGTTAAAAGCGGAGGTTTTAGTTGGTATTATTTATAATAAATCTAATATACTCAGATAAAGACCTAAGTCTGGAATGCAAAAAAGCATTTTCTCCGCTATACAAAAAAATATCCTCAAACGCCACGTTTTTTAATTTATAATTTATTTAACAGATGACTAGTTTTCAATATGTACATACAAATAATTACATAAATCAAATTATACATGTATGTAATAGTTCCATATAAACAGCATATTTGTTGCTTATCATTCTGACGCTAAGAATAAAACTCCGGATTCATTCACAAAATCAATTAACAAGTATTTATAATGCATTCGTTCGCTCTCCTCCCATTCATAGAGCAGAAAATTCATTCATAAAACCGCGGCGCAACGCGCGAAAACTTTTCAAATAAAAACAAACGCCAACCAAACGCGAATTCTGCGAAGCGCAACAAGTGAAATATACACTTTATACACTCTTCGCATAATAACCAAAAAAGGCAAGAGAGAAGACAGAACAAAGAAAAAGGAACACGAAATAAGTTTCGAAGGAAAAAAAAACAACAAGTTTTCATTTACCTTATATTCTATACAGTGCTGGATTTACAGTAGAGGCAATCGGGGCTACTGCCCAAGGCGGCAAATTTTTGGGGGCGGCAAAATTTGGATAGTGAGAAAAAAATTCTATACAATATAATCAAATTTTTTTACCAACATTTTTATATTTCAAGAAATATAATTAACAAAACATAATACGATTGCAATGCAAAATTTGGGTTGAAATAACCAATTATTAAAATTTATTATTTTGCCTTGCCTCCCTCTCCGAACGTAAATTATCAAATTGGTTAATAAGTTATTAAATTTGGCAATTTGGCTAATATAAAGATCCGTAAACAAGCTGAAAGTTTAAGAAAAATATTTACTTCAGTTCTCGAGCCCTCTTAAAATGACGAATATGTGCACTTCCAAGCTTATAGCGTCGAAAAAAAATTTAAACTAGTGACTTATGGCATTGTGCCTTAAGACAAATTATTGAAACATCCCGTACTAAAAATTACATTTTATAAAAAGCTTTTCAACTTTTTGCAAAGCAATCGCGCTGCGTAGCTGTTTCAGAGAAGAAATATCGAAACTCAATTACCATTTTTTGTAATTGCCTTTGCCAAAAACTAATCAGCACGTCTCCCCATCAATACAAATCTAATATTTTTTAATTATTTAAGTCGATTTCGGGAACACGGATCAACCGATTTAAATGATTCAATTCCTATTTATAACGAGACGTGCTGATTAGTTATTGGCCAAGGCAGGTCCAACTGTTTTGAAGATACGGGCCAAAATGCCAAAAATGATAATTCAGTTTTTGAGAAAAAAAGCGTCCAATTTCATTCAAAAAAATTTACAGAATAAATAACTGCTTAAATTTGTGGGAGGCAGGTTTAGCGGTTTCGATAATCCAATAAAAAAAATTGTAAAAGAAACATTTGGTGGACAAAAGTGATCACAAAACATATGCACATCAAATTATCAGATATTTTAAAAATATGTTAATAAGTATAAATTTTGTTTACATTTATATGCGTTCTGTAACATTGTTTATCCGTTAGACTGCGACGCGGCGTTTACGCGCTTCTATATTTTGTCCCTACGCAGCTGAAGCAGCGCGATTGTTTTAAAAAAAAGTTCGAAAGTTCGTAAAATTTCAGGGATGGGGCGACATTTTTGTCAGTGCCCCGGGGGGCCAAATTTCTAAATCCGGCCCTGTTTCTATACCTTTTAGCAACGATCATATTATACATCGGCGTGGAGGCCGAGCGCTGCCAGCCTTCCGATTAGTGAACCGCGTAGTTGTCGATCGTCGTGCGATTCCACCACCCGTCGCCCGGCAGCTAGCCTACTTCGGCTCGCCGGCCGCGGCATGCGTCGCGCTTTGTCGCGACTCCCCCATCCGCCCTTGCACGGTGCTTGTATGTTATAACATATGAGAGCAAAAGCGTAGACCGTCGGCTTGCTAGGAAGCTCGCATGCAACCATTGGCTCGAAGGTCCGTCGGGGAGTGGTTCAGGCACATACATGTGTGTGGACGCCCCAATGCGAGAGAGACGACGTTTCGCTCTAAAACACCCTTCGGAGATTAGAGGGAGCTAAACAACACAACCAGGACGAGGGGTTGTTGCAACGACGGGGTTGTTTAGAATGTGACGAGGGTTGAGTTCGATTGATTTCTATGAGCTGATACCTGGCTGTACGCTGGCCCCGTGACGGTACGTTAATGATATACAGAAGCTTACTAACGTTAAATATTCAGTAATGCGCTCTATATCGGTTGGTACGAAAGAAATTTAA